AGTAACAGGAATAGGCTGGGAAAAACCAAACTACAAAAGGGGGAACTACTCAGGCATGAGGAACTTCCTTCAAGACATTCAGTGGGAGAGGGAACTGACAGGAAAACCAGTACAAGAAATGATGGACTATGTAGCAACAAAATGCAAGGAGGCAGAGGAGAGGTTTGTTCCCAAGGGAAACAGAAATAATGGGGAAAAACAGAAACGAGTCCTTGGTTCACCCAAAGGTGTAGGGAGGCAAAAACTAGGTGTACTAGAGAATGGAAAAGGTACAGAAGACAGAGAACTCAGGAAAATAAAGAAATCAGCCGAAGAGCCAGAAACGAATATTTCACAGATAAGAAGGGAGGCTCAGAGACAATATGAAAATGACATAGCATCAAAAGTAAAGACTGACCCGAAGCTGTTGTACAGCCACATCAGGAGGAAAACAACAGTCAAGGACCAGGTAATCAGACTGAGGAAGGGTGATGGGGAATTCACAAGAAATGACCAAGAGGTATGTCAGGAGCTCAACACAAGATTTAAAGAGGTATTCACAGTGGAAAACAGTAGGACTCCAGGAAATCAGAACAGGGGGGTACACCAGCAAGTGCTGGATGAGGTACATATAACCAAGGAGGAGGTGAAGAAGCTGCTATGCGAACTTGACACCTCAAAGGCGGTGGGACCAGACAACATCTCTCCATGGGTCCTTAAAGAGGGAGCAGAGATATTGGGTGAGCCATTAACAAAGATCTTCAACACATCATTTGAAACTGGGCAACTCCCTGGGGTATGGAAAATGACAAATGTAGTCCCAATTTTTAAAAAGGGAGACAGACATGAGGCACTAAACTACAGACCTGTATCACTAACGTGTATAGTATGCAAGGTCATGGAGAAGATCATCAGGAGGAGAGTGGTGGGGCACCTGGAAAGAAACAAGTGTATAATTGACAACCAGCACGGTTTCAGGGAAGGAAAATCCTGTGTCACAAACCTACTAGAGTTTTATGACAAGGTGACAGAAGTAAGACAAGAGAGAGAGGGGTGGATCGACTGCATATTTTTGGACTGCAAGAAGGCCTTCGACACAGTTCCTCACAAGAGGTTACTGCAAAAGCTAGAGGATCAGGCACACATAACAGGAAAGGCACTGCAATGGATCAGAGAATACCTGACAGGGAGGCAACAACGAGTCATGGTACGCGACGAGGTGTCAGAGTGGGCGCCTGTGACAAGCGGGGTTCCACAGGGGTCAGTCCTAGGACCTGTGCTGTTCTTGGTATATGTGAACGACATAACGGAAGGGATAGACTCAGAAGTGTCCTTGTTTGCAGATGATGCGAAGTTAATGAGAAGAATCAAATCGGATGAGGATCAGGCAGGACTACAAAGAGACCTGTACAGGCTACAAGCCTGGTCCAGCAACTGGCTCCTTGAATTTAACCCTGCCAAATGCAAAGTCATGAAGATTGGGGAAGGGCAAAGAAGACCGCAGACACAATATAGTAATATAGTTTAGATGGCCAAAGACTGCAAACCTCACTCTAGGAAAAAGATCTGGGGGTGAGCATAACACCGAGCATATCTCCTGAGGCGCACATCAATCAGATAACTGTTGCAGCATACGGGCGCCTGGCAAACCTACGGATAGCGTTCCGATACCTCAGTAAGGTTCGTTTAAGACTCTGTATACCATTTACGTCAGGCCCATACTGGAGTATGCAGCACCAGTTTGGAATCCACACCTAGTCAAGCACGTCAAGAAATTAGAGAAAGTACAAAGGTTTGCAACATGACTAGTCCCAGAGCTACGGGGATTGTCCTACGAAGAAAGGTTGAGGGAAATCGGCCTGACGACACTGGAGGACAGGAGGGTCAGGGGAGACATGATAACGACATATAAAATACTGCGCGGAATAGACAAGGTGGACAAAGACGGGATGTTCCAGAGATGGGACACAGACACAAGAGGTCACAATTGGAAGTTGAAGACTCAGATGAATCAAAGGGATGTTAGGAAGTATTTCTTCAGTCATAGAGTAGTCAGGCCGTGGAATAGCCTAGAAAGTGACGTAGTGGAGGCGGGAACCATAAATAGTTTTAAGGCGAGGTATGATAGAGCTCATGGGGCAGGGAGAGAGAGGACCTAGTAGCAATCAGCGAAGAGGCGGGGCCAGGAGCTGTGACTCGACCCCTGCAACCACAAATAGGTGAGTACAAATAGGTGAGTACACATACAACAGGCCTAGTGTCTATTCGACATGTGCCTAGGACAACATAAATGGCAACTAACATACACAACAAGCATGTAACTCACTTGAACCAAGGGAGAGTAATAGAGGTAGATCTTGCCAGCGTCAGCAAGGAGTTTGTCTCCTGCCCTGGCTAGAGGCGCCCCCACCAGGAGGTCATCAACACCATCACCGTCCACATCTGCTGACTCCAGACAGTAGCCGAACTGGGCACCCATCTCCTGCCCGTACAAGCTCGTCGATGCCTCCTTCAGCACCAGGGCATCGTAGAAGCTCACCTGGTGCCACAATTGTTTTTTATGTTAATGAATTTACGTTAGTGTTGAGGAATGGTGCCCTGAAAATTTATTGTTATTATTATTATTATTATTATTATTATTATTATTATTATTTTATTATTATTATATGTTGTAGTAGTAGTCTAGTAGCAGTGGTAGTAATAGTTTTAGTAAGTAGTTGTAGGTAGTAGTAGTAGCAAGAAGTAGCTAGTAGAAGTAGGTAATAGTCGTAGTAGTAATAGTAGTAGTATTAATAATAACAGTAGTAGAAGTAGAAGTAGCAGTAGTGGTAGTTGCAGCAAAAGTAGTAGTAGCAGTAGTACTAGTAGTAGGAATATTAGGAGTAGTGGTAGCAGCAGTAGAAGTAACAGTAGTGGTAGTAGCAGTAGTAATAGTCATGGTAATAATAGTGATAGTAATAAGAGAAGCAGCAGCAGTAGTAGTGCTAGTAGTAATAGTTATAGTAGCAGTGGTAGTAGTACTAGTAGTTGTTGTTGTTGTAGTCGCAGTAATATTATTGATTGTAATAAGAACAGAAGCAGCAACAATGCACAATTCTACTACTACTACAGGAGACCTGGTCACAGACTGGGCCCGAAACTCTCTTCAGGTATCTCTAGGTATACAGCAGTAGTAGTAGCAGCAGTACTAGTAGTAGTAGATGTAGTTTCAGTAATATTAGTGATAGTAGTAAGAGAAGCAGCAATGATCATTAAGTTAGTCAGTTAATGATAGCGTCACAAATCTCAGTAGGCTTCTACATTTAGTGTGATACTTATCGTTTTCGGTAAATACTTTAAAACTGCATAGCACCACCACGAAGGCTTCCCCATTCTACGCTCTCTTCTATTTTGGAGATACTTTTTAAACTGCATTTACCAAAAAAATGCACTAATAGGTTAGTTCTAAAGCTCCAGCTGCGGATCCTCGTATGACTAACACCCGCGTCAGGGGTCCTATTTCCTGACAAATCTAACCTAACCTAACCTAATCTAACCTAACCTATTTTAACCTTACCTAATTTAACCTAACCTAACCTAGTCTAACCTTACCTAACCTAACCTGACCTTACCTAATCAAACCTAACCTAACCATGAAGACTTGAGGTCAAAATGGGTTGATAACATTGGACTCGATGTCAACTTGTGTTGATAATACAGGACTCGAGCTCAACATGGGTTGATGATACAGGATTTTAGGTCAACATGGGTTGATGTTACAGGACTCGTGACCAGCGTGGATTGATGACACAAGACATCACAACCATCTAGAGTCTGGCGACTTACCTTGCCGTGACCGCTGTTATATCCTACATGTGAGGCAGCGAGGAACTCTACAGTACTGCTACTGAAGGTGCCTCTCACTAGAGCCCAGCCCTCGACAGAGTTGTCCAGCTCTGCTTGACCGAAAGTCAGCTTGTTGGCCACCAGGTTGCCCCGGCCGCTGCTTTCCATGCTTAACAGCATACCTGTAGGAAGAGAGAAAGGAAGGATGGATTGCGGTGACAGTCGTATGTGGAAGGAGGACATTCAGGGAGGGAATAGTAATGAGAAGGAAATAAGAAAATAAGAACATAAGAAAGAAGGAACACTGCAGCAGGCCTACTGGCCCATGCGAGACAGGCCCAAGTCTCCTACCGGCTTAAGCCAATGCCCTAACCTAGTTAGGCCAGGTCACATCCATTCAAGGAAGGAGCACGGCATCTGACCTAGTAGCACAAGCTAGTCAGGTCCAACTTACACCCGCCCGCACCCAATCATGTATTTATCTAACCTATTTTTAAAACTACACAACGGTTTAGCCTCTATGAGGGTAGTCGGGAGTTTGTTCCACGTCTACAATAAAGATACCCAGATGTTGCACATGTGTCTTAATTTCGAATATGATATTGTGTATATGGACTTCACTGGAGTCCCACATCAGACTATTGAGGAAAATTAAGGCACACTGAATAGGAAAATTTTTTTCTTGGATTGAGGCATGGTTAACAAATAGGCAGTAGAGAGTTTGCATGAATGGGGAGAAATCAGAGTGGGGAAGTGTCACCAGCGGTGTTCCACAGGGATCAGTGTTGGGCCAGTTGTTGTTCACTATCTACGTAAACGACATATTTAAGGGAATAAATGGCGACATAAGCAAGTTTGCCGATGACACCAAAATAGGCCGTCGAATTCATTACTCCAGGATGGCCTACCATGATGATGATGATGGTAATGATGATGATGATCATCATTATATTGTTGGCTTTCATCTTTGTGTTCATGTGTGCCAGAATATATATACGTGAAGTGTGTGTTTTTTCTGGATATACAAAAAGCACAGTGAAGGAAACTATTTAATGTTGATATAGTCGACAGGAAAATTCAATACCTCGTTTACTGGTGCCGGCTTTATGGTGGGGCAGGGAGAGACTGTGTCAAGGGTCAAGTGTGAAGGTTATATAGCATGGCAGCAGAGACCGCTGGTCTGCTAGATAAGATAAGATAAGATAAGATTTTGTTCGGATTTTTAACCCCGGAGGGTTAGCCACCCAGGATAACCCAAGAAAGTCAGTGCGTCATCGAGGACTGTCTAACTTATTTCCATTGGGGTCCTTAATTTTGTCCCCCAGGATGCGACCCACACCAGTCGACTAACACCCAGGTACCTATTTGCTGCTAGGTGAACAGGACAATAGGTGTAAGGAAACGTGTCGGAATTTCCACCCGCCGGGAATCGAACCCGGGCCCTCCGTGTGTGAAGCGGGAGCTTTAGCCACCAGACCACCGGGCCATGGGTATGTGATATGAGTGAATGAAATTAACAACATGATGATTGCAATTAGTCTCTGAATCTGACTTCTGTCAAGTGACTTGGTCTTTTAACTTAGCATCGATATTCCGGAGATTCATTTAATTGTGAATATGTCCAACTTATGCAGTCCTGGACAAATGTTTAACCAGCAGCTGTTTATATACAACTTGACTATAATATTTTATTCATATATTAATTTGTGTGCCGTGAATCCGAGGGAAAGATTGCAAGACATGAGGAGGTTAATAACATTATCAATAGGAGCCTCACAACACCCGGATGCCCAGCAGTAAGGGAGCCACCCCAGCTATGCAGATCTGATGGTAGCCAGAAGTGTCCAGATGGTATCACCCTCAAGCTTGGACATACGGGAAGCAGGTGGTGTGGGACTATACATGTGCATCTACCTTGGCTGATACCTATCTCCAATACACCAGGAAGGAAGGAGGGGCAGCTGCCAGCTTCAGGAAGTCCCAGAAGTCTAGAAAATATGGAGAACTTGCCCATCATTATATGTTTGTTCCCATAGGCTTAGAGACCCTTGGCTCATGGGGAAAGAATGCATCTAAATTCCTTAAAGAGCTGGGAAAAAGATTCATCAGGGTAACCAGGGCAGCTAGTTTTCAGTTCCAGCGGCTCAGTGCGGCTGTTCAAAGGGGTAATGCCTGCTGCATTTTGGGCACATTGCCCCAGCTCTGAGGAGCTGGATGAGATTTTCGCCTTATAATCGGTGATACACACGTAACAACATGTAACGTATATGCCACCTTTATATCAACAATGTATCTCTTAATTCTTCTGTACCATATTATGTAATAAAATATTCCTATTGGTAAAAAAAAATGGAAAGATGGGGTGGTAGGGGAAATGGAATATTCAGACGGCTTCAGGAAGAAATCCAAATATTCTTCCTTGAAGCCTTTTCCACTTCTCCGAGGCTATGGGTCCCACAATTTACACCAGAGGTGGACCCCCATCATTCAAATGCCATTCAGATTGAGTACTGTTTTCTGATATTAATTCTTAAAGCAAGATTTTTTCTAGTCTGCCGTATATGAAATTGATCACAGTTCGTTGTATGGACTCTTATAGATACATACATCGTTATTCTCACGGTATTGTTAGTTAGGATCTATTTTATAATAGATTTATTTTTAATGCGATATAAATATTTAAAAAATGAACAAAATAAGAATACCATAAAAGTTTACATTATCTGGTAGCACTAATTCAATTTTTTATTATACATGTTTTCTCAGATTTTGAACTGTAAATAAAATTCTCTGCAATTTTCAGAAATCTGCTAAATGAAAAGTTTTGGGTACGCTATATTCTAAATTTTCCCAATTTCCCTATTTAAATACAAATAGGTAAACAATGTTAGGAACATACAAGAGAATACAGCTTGTTAATTTGTTGTCTAGGTATAAGAACATAAGACAGGAGGAACACTGTAGCAGGTCTACTGACCCATATTAGGCACGTCATTCTCTAACCCAAACTCCTTTAACAAAAACATTTGCCCAACCTTCTCTGTATTAGTTGACCTTCTATATATTAGTTGACCTTCTATATATTAGTTGACCTTCTATATATTAGTTGACCTTCTATATATTAGTTGACCTTCTACATATTAGATGACCTTCTATATATTAGTTGACTGTCTATATACTGTAATTTGAATATGAACTGAAGGTCCATTTTCTATATTTGATACATCTATAAATGGTGCTGAGTTATTTTGCTCAACCTTTACCCTAAATCTAATTCAAAAGGAAATTTATTTAATTCATCTACACTTACTTATATCATCCACATAACTGCTCCATTATTACATTGGGCAAAGAATTCTTGGTAGCAATACTGTGGTAAAATATACCATGAATAAATAAGGAAGGGCAGGAGGAAGAGGGACTCACTACCGCAACATGCAACATTGCTTCATGAATTTTTATAACATGCAAACTTTGCACTGACACTAAAGAGTTTAATAAGCTCGGTAAGAGCAGACACAGGCTATAATTACACTTTATTTATTATTTATCTATACTGTGATTAATTATAATGTAGCATTACAGCCTTCTTATAATTACTTCTAAACCAAATTATCATTTTAAGTTTGTCATCTAGATCTCTACTATATTTTATTCTATAATTTCAAATTCTACATAGAAAACCAATGAAACTGG